GGAATAAACCTTCAGGGCTCCATGTTACAGCTGAAGAACAAGCCTGTATCGATGCCGTCATGTCCAGGTATGATACCAGACCAGAGTTCAGGAGAATGGTACGACTGGCCATAGCCCCAGAGCCCAAAAGAACGTCTACGGAAGAGCCTGATGTAGAGATGAAGGATGGCGAAGCCGACCCTGCGAGTACCACTCCAGGAGTCGAGGAGCCTGAACCACCTACGCCTGAGCTTGATCCGCAAGACTACAAGGATGGGGAAGGTCGTTCAGTATCCCCGACGAAAACATGGTCGCACTACCCGACATCGAATCCAGATACTGAAGAACGGAAAAGAGCTGCCAAGCGCAGTGGGCAAGGTACAGCAACCGCTTCCAACTGGAAAACCGCCTATGACAACCTCAGAAGGGTCAGAGCACGCGCAGTGAGCCAAAAGGTGTGCTATTGTTGTGGTTCAAACCAACATCACCTGGCTATTTGTCCCAACACTGAGAAGAAGGACGAGTTGATGAACTCATTCTCTCACATGGAGGACACTATGCGCAAGTGCTTCACCGAGGACGACAAGGCAATCATCCGACGTGATGTTGAAAGCCGAAAGAGGAAAGCAAAGTCATCCAAAGACGTCGAAGACGAGGACTACATGGATGTGGATGATGAAGATATTGAACTTCCCGAAGAAGAACCGGAACTAGGAGGTAAGGTACCACCTCACTCTCCGAGAGCCAAAGGTAGACCACACTCGTCAGACTCTGCAAAAGAGGAATACGCGAAAGCGGTCGAAGCAACCAAGAAGGCCTTTGGGAACGCCAGTTTCGTCACCAGATTCAAAGAGCCCGTCGACCTCTTTGACATTGCCGATGACAAAGAAGGAGGAGAGTACAGGGTCGCAAATCACAGGGTTGATAGATCAGGTCCTAATGGAAAGTGGGAACTTGATGCACTTATTCAGGAGGCTGCAGCACTCGGAATAAAGATGCCCAAAGTGAAGGACCTTGCTCCTGACCCACAACAAGTTCAAAAGGTTGGATATCGGCAGATTGAGGTGACTTGCGATAGAGGAAGCATCGAGATAATTCCACAGTATGGAGTTACATTTTATGTGGAGTACTGGAATGGACCGAAGAGAGATGCAACTTTCACGGATCCACCAAAGATGAACCCAGCAACTCGCATCGACAAGTTCAGCGAGGAGAGTCAGCGGGTCAACGAGGTTAGCCATAGACTCAATAGACTACTCAGGCATGGAGTGGGAAAGCATAATGGGATTCAATCGCACCGCGGTCGAAAACCTCATGTGTCCCCGAAGTGCAATGAGGGTGGATGGGTGAACATCGATGAGATCCTGGAATATGACCATGTCTTCAACGATGGTGTCGATATCAGTACTATCTCAAATGATCGGCATCGTCAAGATGTCAAGACAGAGCGATACCAGTATTTATGCAAGGCGATGTGGCATGCAAAGAAGTTGCAGAACAGAGTACGCTATCAGATTGCCGCCATTCGTATCTCAAGGGAGGATGTCTCACTCGAAGAGGAAAGGCAATACTGGGCAAACCTCATGTATTACAGCACAGATGCACCGTCATTTCTGAAGCATGAACGTTGGATCGTTCCTTGTGCAATTCGAGCTGTTGCCTCTCACAATTCTGGAAGAGAGACTGTTCTTGAAGAGGATGTGTCAATATATCCTGTGTGGACTTCACATCTCATTCCAGAGAATGTGGCAATGCAGCTTGGAGGAAGCTTTCACATGACATCGCTTTCCAATATTGAGTCAATCATGAAACTAGGAATTGTCCCTGGTGGAACGGAGGGATATAGAGGTAGTGTTTTCTTCAACCACTTTGCGCCGTGGGATGATCGATCATCAAAGATTCTGAGATCAAGATGGCCAAGAGTGGGAATGCCCGTTTGCCTTTATGTTCCAATCATGACTTTGAGGAAGCTTGGGGGAAGAATTTCGGAGAATTCCTACACTGTTGTTTTTAGAGAAGTTCCATGGAGATGTGTACGAGGTGCTTGGTATTGGGACGACTACGTTCAGGCATGGAGGAGACTCCTGCTGGGAAGCACTGGAGAGCAAGTTGTTCTAGCGGCACGTCATGGACTTTGGGTTGCTCAGAAGCATACCATCCTCGAGAGAGCCGACGAAGTCACGAAGTCAGCCTCGGCGACAGATGACAACGTCCAAAAGCTCGTGTCCCTTATCGATGAAGTACAATTCGATGACAATGGAGAGCTGATCGAGGATTCCATCAGTGAGGAAACTTGGGACGAAATCATCTCCAGAACATGTGAAGGGTATCGCAACGTGGATGGCAATATTTTGTGTCCATCATGTATGCATTTGACTTCTTCATCTTTGTCCGTGTGTCTATCTTGTCAAGGCAGGCTACTCTCGTGTGGTATTCGCAACACTGTCATTTCCGATTCACCCGTTGATCTTGTGAGCGACGATGAAGAGGAAAAGAAGGAAGAGAAGGAGCCTGAAGATGATGATCAAGATATCTTGGACCAGGCCACTATGGAAGAGATCAGAAAGGCTTGGGAAGAAGACATCGCTCAAACTGAAGCAGCTGACGACGACGAGGACATGGACAATCTAGATCCTTCCAAACCGTCTGATGGTGCAGAAAACTTCAAGAGTGACAATGTCGAGACCCCATCTTTCAATGAGGACGAGATCGACTACGATCGTGATTCTGATCTAGAAGATGAAGACGAACGAAACGTGATCATCGAGATCCAGAGGAGCACACAACAATATGAGGGGAAGAAACGTCAAGATGGTGAGCCCGAGGATGAAGACGTCACCGACGACTTACATCCGGAGGCGAATCGACCGACAGATCGTGATGAACCGGGATACTATGCACAGCATGGAGCGACCGAGTTCAATCCCGAAGAAGGAAGAGACAACGAAGATCTCCCCATCTATTGTCGAGTACCGGAACCTCGAATCTATGCGCATCAAGAGAGAGCCTACTGTCAGGACGTCTCCATGAATGCATCGGGTTTGATGGATAGGTATGTGGTCAAATGTGTGCTGAACATGATCTCCCTGATGTACAAGAGCTACTATTGCACCAGCCTTACCGACTTCAAAGCAAATTGGAAAAGGAAGCGTCTGGATGTGATAAGCAAGTTCGGTACAGAGGATTTCACTGAAATCGATGACGATGGGAGACCATTGGATCCAACAGATGACATGATGAGAATCTTTGCCAACGAAAACAAGATTACGATTGAGGAGGCCTGGCACCGATTCAGAGGAGAGCAATTCATTTGCAAGGTGGCACTCGTGATCCTATCGTTTGGTCATACTCCGTACTCCTTCAAGAAGGAATATGGCAACTTCGAATACTCCACCAACTTGACTGACGTCCAGCTTGAGGAGTTGAAAGCGAAGAAAGCCAGCGCAATGACTGAATTGGTACAGAAGTGCATCCATGCGATTTATGGTTGTCGGACATATTCTTACTTTAGAACCGACGTTACATCACCCAACCACAAGGTGATCGATCCTCTGGACATCATGTACTCGAGAATGAAGAGCAAATGGGAGAAGTCTATTCTGCTGATCATTGATCAACATGAGATCAGGTTGCCCCCACACGCTCAGAATGTCGTAGAGTCAATGGCCAGAAATCCCAACATTGGACATACAGAGAGATGGATGAGCGTGGTAGAACAGAAGCATGTTCAAGCTCTTACCGATCGTCTAGGCTTTGGAGATAGGGCCAAGGAGATTCAGGGCAAGAAGAAGCAGGCAGCCAAGGCAACAGCTAAGTCAACATCAACGACTAAGTCTGAAGCGAAAGCAGCATCTTCGTCAAGAGCTGAGGCAAAGCCAGCATCTACACCCAGAACCGAGGCCAAGCCGTCGTCAGCACCAAGTGAGGAGCCAAAACCTGCAAGAGCACCTAAGAGTTTCGGGCCCTCATCAGCAGAGGAGAACAGGGCGAAGGCTGCTCCAAAAGCCAGACCACATGATAAATCACCATCCAGTGCTACCGATGTGTTTGAGCAAGCTTTGCAGGAAGATCTTGCCGCCAACGCACATGCAGCAGAAGGTACAACTTCTTCATCATCCCGAGGACATTCCAAAGGAGGAGGCCAATCTGGAACATCTTGGAGGCCGGCGCTAACGCAAGAACGTCGCGAAGTACCTCAACCTTCTGAAAAGGGGAAGGGAAAGAGCAAGTCCAAGGGAAAGTCCAAGAAGGGAGAAGATGATCGGCGGGATGCTCAGGGCAGCTGGGATCATCGTGGATGGAGAGGTTATCGCCAGTGGTGATTTCTTTGAACGACTATGAGGATACCATGCAAACCAGGGAGGAAGTCATTCACCGGATGTCTATCTGACCTGAAACGCTGTAAGTGTATCATTGCAAATCATCAATACGATTTGATACCATGAGCATAATGGAAGGTAGACAGTCACCGACTGTCTCTCCGACTTGCCGTTCTGTAAGTGTATCCAAACCAAAACCTACATCTTTTGAGAAGTGTGAAGTCAGTTGCCGATGTGACATCTACGTGGAAGTCACCAGTTCGGATCTACATCAAAGCGATGCTCTTTTGAGTGGATACTGAGCGAGGCCTCGTGACTGTCTCACTTGTTCAATTCGATTTTTTCATAGGTTCTGAGCCATAGTTGCACACTTTATATGTAAAAGTCCGCTTTAGTCCAGCATGTTTCGTAGTATGAGCCTCATATGAGTCTCGCGGCAAATCATACAATTTCTTTTGTAGCACTTACATCCCTAAATTTTCGTGTGTGATCGGAACATATTGTTGCCGTTCACATGGGGGTGCGAATGGAAGTGCAGCGACACGTACAGTGCAACTTGTACATATATATGTACCATATGTACTTTGGCTCAAGGATCAAGCGACTAGAAAAGGTGCGGTTTCCGTTCCGACGCTACGCCGCTTATGGATCGTCAGTGATAGCTTCAAACTTCGCTGATTAAGATCCACTCGCAATTTTGAGGCAACTTCATCAGCGACTATCAGTTGCGGAAGAGGAGAAGGACGGTTTGTTTGGATGTAATTATAGGCTACCTTTGAAATAAAAGAAGCTTGGTATGCCCCCTTTTGGTTCATGCTCATTGTGCTTGTGTCAGGGTGCTTGCACAAAATGACGCCATTCTCTTGTGTGACAGGCCATAATGATGCAGAATCTGCGTGACCATATTAAACAGTTGGCACGTGACAGCCTCAGACAGACAACGAGGCGTCAAACGGTCCAAGACAACAAACTCTGTCAAGTTGCCACTGCGAAACAATGATGAGACAGGATGAGACAGGCATAGGAGCAAAGTTGGAGCAACTAGAATTGCTTGTACAACAGCTAAGGTGAAAATTGGGACCTGAAGTTCAAAGCAGGGTTGATCGAGGAGCTGGGGAGCTGGGTGGTTGTTTTTGCTTAGCGAGAATTAGACAAGACCAATCAGGAAGGTGTGTGATCGCTTTAGTTAATGCCAGTCCATCATGTTTCACTTTAGCAGAGTGCGCTTAGCTGCTTAGCTTGCATTCCATGAGGATTCCACAAGATCTCAGAGTGCCAAGGACAGTTCTTTCGCAACCGAGCCAGAGTGTCGTGCAGTGAAACCAGGGACGGACCTCTGACATCCGACCGGGAGATTTTGGGCCCCTTTTGGGCCCCTAGAGCTTGGGGGATGAGTTCAAAGCAACAAAGAATTCCCTCAGCGCTATTGTGGCGCTAGCTCAGAGCCTCTAAAACCTCTAGACTTTGCCGCAAGTTTCTGCCGGGCCTTTACCTAGTCAATTCATTTCTCAAGCAAATCTATCCCATACGTAGTTTTGGCCCTATAGTTTCGATGCTCAGAGCTTTCGTAGACTTCCAAAGGATACTAGTGCTGGCACGGTGCTTTTTCCACGTTTGCCATCATGTTTTGTTTTACACGGGGCTGTCGATCCGTTGAACCCTTGTCAAAAGCCAGCACAACACGCACGCATTAAACTTCAAGATTGTATAAATTGCCAAAGGAATACGTGCGTGTGTGCACCAGATATGCAGATATGCAGTGCAGTACCGAACTAGAATGTACACCATTGTCATTAGCACATGCCTGAAGCAGGGAATCTAGATGCTGTGCGCAGATGCCAACAAGATGCTGTTTGCATGAACATACATAAACATGCCGGGATGCTGAAGGCACGTGCTACAAGACTGGGGCCTGTGTTCGGAGGAAACACCCTCGACCGTGCAAAGATCCAGTTGGGCCGGTGGCCATGGGAAGGGTACTTGTGCACAGAAAGTTTGTGTGACAAAACCAGGTGCTGGAAAGGACGCCTTGACAGGAAGAGGTATAAGGTATATGACAAACATTCACAAAACCTAGAGTTGACTTGGCCGCAGAAAGTGAATGCAGGTGAGCGGAAGGCCTTTACATCAGCGAGTAAATTTGTGCCGTTGACAAGAACTAAGAACCTAATCAAGGAGCGCTGACAGTAAATATTCAGTAGTACTGTATGTTCTTCACCAATCTCCTGTGGATAGATCCTGGCCCATCATTCCGGGCTCGAGAGTCACTAGAAAGCTCCTTGAAGATTCCGAATCTTCAAGGGCATGAAAGGAGTAGCAACAAACTTGCTCATACAAGGAATGGTCCAGCGTCCATGATTCTTGGTCAGTATTTGTTGTAGACTTCTAGGGGGATGCTTGTTCATGTGTTATGTTTTTCTCAGTTCAAACATTGGCTGCCCGACTGCTCATGAGCCATTCCCCAAAACTGTTGCCGCGGTTCACTTGTTCCGACGGCAAACAAGGAAGTTGATCGCTGCTTCTTTGAACAGGTTCTTTGTCTTCCAAGCGATTTTATCCTACTGTGTGATCTCGTTTTGTAGGGCTGGACAGAGGGAGCAAACAAAGCCGGAGCAGTTTAGAAGGGTTTGCTTTTGAGTAATTGAAACTCGAAACTCTTTTCTGACAAGCAATCGTTTACTGAGAGCAGAGTTTCTTTATCAAGACTCAAGGCAGGCCTTTGACAGCAAGAGGTGACCCAGCTGGAATCCTTTGAAACCAATCCGGTTCCTTGTAGATACTTCACATGCTGCGGAAGTGGATATTCAATATTCTCACTCCTTTGCCCGCAGCAACACAACCTTAATGAGCGGCTTCGTTAGAGCATGTTTGCTGAGCTATTCATGTAAATCTAAAGCAGCATTGATTCAATGTGCATGTGTATATATATATATATATAGGTAGATGGGTTGAGAGGTAGATGTGTTTGTTGAGATAGGTGTGCGACGGTTGTCCAGTCTGCAAGTACTTTGACTCGTTGACCTCTTGCACTGCTTTGCCTGAACGCCCTAGAGTCCTATAGGTCCTAGAGTCATTGTTGCTTGCTGTTTGTTTTAGAGAAGTGACCGAAGGAGGCACCTTTGCAAGAATCGATGAACAATCCAGGCAGGGCAGCGAGGCATTTCTGGCAATTGCTGTCGGGTTTGCAGCGTGTTTTGCGTCCTTGATTCTTGTATATGTATACTGTACATACCCCATGTCAAAAGATATGAATCTATGTAAGATCGATGGTGGCGATGATGGCCGCGTTCCGTTTGTTCTATGTTGTTGTGTCCCTGCTGTTTCTCCAATGTCAGTTTTCGTGTCTTGAAGCCATCGTTCGTGAACGGTTCAACCATGTTTTGCCCTTCACTTGACCTTTGGGCCCAAGGGAACCCTTTTGCCATGCTGTGCACCTAGACGGTGCAGAAAAGCATAGCAGCCGTGTTGTGCTTGGGGGCCCCGTGGTGGGCCTGTGATCCTTTGTTGGTTGTGTGTTCAACCATCGTTGGTACAAGGCGTATCCAGACAGTGAAACTTTTTGCATTGGTGCCTCACCTTTAGTTGCTTATGGCTTCGTGGCTACCAACACTGGTAGCGGAGCCGGAGCCTGTCTCCTGAGAGGGGAGCAGGCTACCGTGCCGGTGGGACAATTCATTGAGGAGCTCTTCGACGTTGAACAACATTGTTGGATAGTTTCTCACTGCTTGCACGTTTACAGAGAGGAGAGAGCAGACTGCGACTTGGGATGGTGACCCTACAAGCTGGACAGAGTATATCAAACGTGTTTGGCTGCAGTACAAACGCGCTCCATTCAAGAAGCGTTGGCTCCTTGGTGCTGAGTTGGCGTCCCGCCATGCGGGACGAGCTTGGTCATTGGCGTCTGCCCAGGTCGATCATGCTCGCCTTCAAGAAGTAGATGGCCCAGCTTATTTGTTGCAGTTTCTGGAGGAAAGGTTGTGCACAGCTCCCATCCCGGACACGGGAGCTCGGTTGGAAGACTTTTTCATTCGACTTCGCCGCACTCCAGAAGCGACAATGGCTGAATGGTCCTCAGCTTCGTGAAGCATACTCCAGGTTGCAAAGGGCAATGGCCCGCCAGAGGGCTGGTCGACAACGCCGTGAAGGCCAGATCAATACAAATAGTTCACCAGCACTGCACCCACAAGTTCTGGACAGCAGCAACGGTCGGACACGACCACTCCGGAGCGTCGTCGATTGCTTACACCTTCTCATTTGCCCAATGCTGCGCCGGCCAATGAGACCTATGTTGAAGAAGAAGGACCTGGTGAACCAGCACCCTTAGAGCATGTTGCAGCTCCGAAGGATGCAATCCTGGACACACTCACGCCACGAAGGCTGGACAGCAGAAGAGTGCGACAACTGGCGCCGTGAGGACCATGGTGATTCAGATGATGAAGCTGAGGCTAAGGCCAAGGAAGTTGAGATTCGCTGGATTTGATCATGGAGAAGGGAAGATTTTAACCGATGAGATTTTGGGCTGGCTCGTCCTCTGGAAGAGTGGATTGCCTGCCAACGCACGGCTATCAGTCCTTTCAGCGATCAACAACTCCCTTGGCCTGGATATGATGGAGAGAGCGATGAGAGATCAGGAGGATGGAGAGAGCGATGAGAGATCAGGAGGAAGAACTCGTCGTGGCTGAGTCCCACCGCAGTCATGGCCCCTTCTGGCAACAATATTATGTCTTTTGGGTAGGTGACGGCTGGCAGAAGATGTGCCCAGTGGAGCCCAATGACGGGGAGACTGCATGGTCATCCTGGCTGCCCGATGGCCAGGAACTTCAGTGAAGAGTGTTTAGCAGCGACCAGCGCAGAGTCGGCCCAACAGGAACGGCTGCCTATATACTGGAACTTCCAAGACAAGATGCACACCTTTCGTGAGTCTCGTGCCATGACACGTTTCAAGAAAATGTCTCGCGGTTATTACCCTATGGGCGCGATCAAAGAAAAATCCAACGGGAAAGGAAAGTCTAAGGGCAAGGGCTTTGGTAAGAAAGGTCCATTCCAAAACAGTTCAACATCAATTTTGGGAAGGGAACACCAACCGGTCAGAAGCCTGGCAGTCCCGAGTATAAGGGTCCTTTCGTCTGCGCCGCCAAAGAGCATGACGATCGAGTAGAGATCTTCGTCGGGTCCATCTTCACCGTTGTTTCGATCGACAAGGGTGGAGGAGGGCGTGGGCGACGACAAAATGGAAGCTTTGGCCACTTTGTCAGCTTCTTTCCCTGGCTGCGCTGTCATTAAGCATCCGTTCTTGATTAGAATCAATATTTTGATGTCCTGAGATATTGATTTTGCTAGTATTGATTAGAACCAATATATATTTTCAATCACCCGACCAACATAAATATTGAAAATATATTGGTTTTCATTTTCAAAAACAGATTGAATAAAATATTGATTGAGATATTGATTTTGGATGTGCCCCTTGTACTGCAAACTGCGGCTAGTTTTGGCTCAAAAAATAGCAAGAAGACAGATCTATAGACAAATTTTGGAAAAGAAAATGAGTGGGAGAGGAGGAGGCAGGCATTTCACCAAGCCTGTTGTGGATACTGATGTCCTCTACTCATGCCTGGAAAAGGGCCAATATGACCACATCAGTCTCTCACAAGGTGTGTCTGTGGCTTCCTCTGCCTTCTTGGAAGCAGCTTGGCTGTGATGCAGCCTTTTCCAAGGCTGGGCCCTGCCTCTTCAAGATACCTTTGAGAGGCTGTTCCTCCTTCACCTTTCCAAGGGCTTCACCTTTTCCAAGGGCTTACCCTGCAAGGGTGCGCCATGTACTTCCCTGTGTTCAGGTCTGGGTGCTCTGACAGGACAGAGAGCAGGGCCTGCCTCATTGGCTGAGGGTGGATCTCACCGCAAAAAAAAGCAGCCTCAAGGGGCCTTTCCATGGAGGTATCAAATGAACCATGGCCCGACAGGCCAGGGCAAAGATGGCAGAGCAATCCTTGAAGGAAGCCATGCGCTTCTTGCCTTGCAGGCAAAGGCAAAGCCCAAGGCCTTGACAAGGCAAAGGCAACAGGAAATGGAAAAGCAACGCCCTAAGCAAAGGCAAAGGCCTTGGGAAAGGGACTTGCAAAGAAGCCAGCAACAGGGTCCTTGGAAAGGGAAGAAAGGAAACAGTGGGTGCCTAAGGAAGACATGTGCCAAGAACCCTGAAAGTGTATATTTGTGTGGTGCCACAATTGAAGGCGCCAGCTTCATTGATGACATCTGGGCAGCCTTGGAAAAGAATGCCCTCACCAAGCAAGAAGCCAAAGATTTGAGGGGCCAGCTTTGCAGCCAACATGGCTGCTGATTCTGTTGTTTAACTAGACAAAAGCAAAGCTTTGGAAAAGGCCGGCAAAAGCCTGGGAAAAGGCCTGTAAATAGCTAGGAACTCACCTTAGGAAGGGTAAAATTCTAGGGTTAGGCTGTAAGTTTTTTGCGATGCCAGAGGCCTGGCATGTGGAGCAAGGAAGAGAAAGGGAAAACACAGCCTGAGCGCCTGAGTGCATGCTGTTTGCGTGGAAAAGGTTTTGTGGAACTGCTTGCGTGTATGTTTAACCTGCAGCTGTTTCCTCAAGCAGCTGGGGCCAGAGGGTGCGCCAACCACATGCACCACAGCACACACACACTACACTACAACACACAACACAACAAACTCACTCATGAGAGCACACGCGCATGCAACGCACAAGCCCACGCATGACAGGTCATTCGGAAAAGCCGAGTTGGAAGCACGCGTGCCCAAGAAACTATTGTTTGCAAGTTTTTAAACCAATCCCGAAAATTTTCCAAAATTTGCAAAAACAACATGGTTTGATAAGATTTGATAAGCTTTGTTTTTGTTAATTTTCGGACATATTGCCAAATATATCTGCATAATTTTGGCTCAAGATAGGGTTTCATTCACAAGAAGCTTGCAAGCACTAGTTCGATGGCGCCTAAAAAGGCAATGAAGGCTATGAAAGTGATGATGCCCTGGGAAAGGTCAAAGCAAAGGCAAAAGAAAAGGCTAAGGCCTCTACAGCAAAGGCCTTGAAAAGGCAAAGCTGAACCAAAGAAGCTGGGAAAAGCCAGGCAAAGTTAGTTTGAGTGAGAAAAATGATGAGGCGCCAGACCTTTTCTTCAGAATCCCTTGGAAAAGGAGGATCATGAGAAACTTGGAAAAGTTGAGAAGGGTCTGTCAGCTGCCCTTTGGCTCATGAAGAAGGAGTGCAAAAACTATGTTCAGAAGTGTGACCAAGGAGGACACTTGAGAAAGTGAAAAGCACATGCTGAACAAATTCAGTGAAGATGAATTTTACAAACACCTTGACTCTGGGAGAATTGTGTACCGGTCACACCCAAGTGGCAGCACAAAGATACGGGAAAGAACTGGGAATCAGGTCAAGAATTTGACCCTGGTCAGCAGGGCTTGGAAACGTTCAAGCGCTTGTGCAGTGTGGGAATGGCTCTGCCCTTGGATGATGTCGGTGCCTGGCAAGACAAAGGGCAACCAAAGGCCCTTGGAAAAGGCAAGGGCGCAAGGAAAGCCCTTGGAAAAGGGAAAGGCAAGAAGGGGCTGTGGATGGAGAAGAGCAAAAAGAAGAGCCACACCAAACAGAGGAAGAAGCTCTCAAGGAAGCCTTGAAAAAGGCAAGAGATGCTGTTGCCTCTGAAAGGCAAAAGCATCACTGTCCCGGCAAGGCCAGGCAACAGCAGAAGGCTTGATTGCTAACATGTCTAATTGGGTGCAAAATTCAAGAATGCGTTGCAAGCAAAGAAGTTGCTAGCATGTCCAGTTTGGACTGCAAGGCCGGAGAAGCCAAGCATTTGCTCCCAGATACAGAGATCAGTGAACAAAAGATGCAAACAGCAAGCGCGCAGCTTGGAAAAGCTGGTGCAGCTTTGGTGCGTTGCTGGCACATTCCTCCCCAGAGAATTTGTCAAGGCCATGAGTCTTGGAACATTTGCTATGGAATTGCAAATATATAAACCCTACCAAACATATGTGCTTCTTGGGTGAGGATCATGTGAGGCACATCACCAAGCTGGCCCACAGTGTGAGTTTAAAGGCAATGTGGGCCAGCTGCCTTGGAAAAGGCTAAGTTTTCTGCACATAGCAGTCCTTGGGAAAG